TTTAGTTAAAAAAAATTATAAATTTTAATAAACTTATTTATAAAATTATAATTTATTTGATTTAAAATATTTAAAATGAAATAACAATAAAAATTAAAAGAAAAATTATTCTCCTCTCGACTCTTCGACCTCCTTCCTAGCATTACTCCCTTTCTTTTCTATGTCACAACCTTAATCATTTTTTAGATTAAAAGTTTTGTTTCTTATATGTGTTCTCACTGACTTGCAATTTTTTCTATAAGTAGAAAGGGTAATTATTTCCTATATGATTTTTTCTTATGAATTTTTTTAAAAGATGTTGAATGAAATATCTTTAATTGGCTAATAGAGACAAGTACAATGACTAAATTAACCAAATTGAAAACACGGAGATTAAATTAGCCATATGGCTATAATAGAGGAACCATTTTGACATTTAAGCGTAGATTGGGTTATATAATGAACAGGCCTTTATATATGATATGAGTAAAAGATTCGGAACAAAGAGAGAGACCATTGTAAGTCGCCAAATGAAACAATTATTGTTGGCCAAATGTGCGAGAAGAAAGAGAACATCACCAAAGTCTGAATGAATAATGTTAAGTAGACTAAATTTGTAGGTTAATTTGCTAACTAAATGATGTGTCACCAATAAAAAATAAGCACTTTGATCAAATAAATAAATAATAATTCAATCATCAACTTCCATGTCATTTAGTTTATGTATTAGTTTATGTGCCTTTGGATGGTAATTAACTAAAACATCACTGCTATTTGTTGATACTAGAAGTCGCGTTGGGATTTTGCTCTTAGAAGGGCAGATACAACACGTTACGATTAAGATTGGAATCTTATGTTGATTATGTTTTGATTATATAATCGATACGCCTTAATATATGATATGAGTAGGTTTAATTACTTGCATATGGAAATTTAAGGGGTATCAAGAGGAGCTTAACCAAAATGTAATTATTTGTGCAAGTTTTAATCTTGGAAATTTTGGAGTATAAAGAGGGCCGCACTAGTGCACCTCCAGTATAGTAAGCCCCCCAGGCAATAGGCAACTCAATCCTTTTAAATGAACAATAACTGCCTGCAGTGAACACTAACTGCCTAAGTGCATCTCCATCCCTAAATTGAATAGTCCAAGTAATTCATATTACATTATTAATATTTTATTTATAATCTTCATTATTAATTTCGGATACTAATAAAAGACTGGTTGAAACTATTTGAAAATATTGAAATGTGTGGAAGAACATGGTTACATACTTATAGAAAAAAAAAGATTATTTTAGATATTTATAATTTTTTAATTAATTTTTTTAAATTGTTTAATAATTTAAATTGTAACTAACGCCTTGCGTCATATAGGCAGGGCGTTGGGCCAGACGATTATTGCCTAATTTCTCCATTAGGCTCGCCTTAAAGCCCAATTGCCCGAGTGGGCTGGAGTGTTTTGGGAGGGGGGAGTGGATTGGGTTGCCTATCCCCAAGGCAACAAGCAACGGTGGAGTTGCTCTAATGACTAAGCTCAAGGGAGAACATATGGAACTCAAAAGTCATCATCATGCACTCCTACTTTATTATTTTTGGGAGCGCAAATAACAGCTCCTTGTTAGAAGTCATACTAAAGCGCTAAAGCAAGTTCAGACAAAGGGATATCTTAAATTGGTGTCACACTTCACATGTCAAAACTCAAAAGTCATCCTCTCCGAATGTAAGTTTCGTGTTCAGACAAAAACTTCGAAGCCAGTAACTGATTGCCAAATAGATTCATAAGAAGTTCATCAAGGTGTTAAGAGCATACCTTGTCGTTTGTAATTAATCAAAGATCTTGGATGAAAGCATTATCTTCCAGTTCACGACGATTCATCCAACAGCTGTTTGATTTTTTCTTGTACGGGTTGTATCCTTCGATTTTGATTCAAATGGCAGAACTTCTTGCAATGATTTTGGAACCACCGGCCTGTAGACTTCTTCGGCTTCCTTTCAATTGGCTGTCAACACAAGCAAATGAAACAAAAAAATGTTCAAGTACCTTGAAAAACATGCAGTACTTCCAGGGCAGAATTGAGAGTGCGAAACCACATGCAGCTGCAATAAACAGCTCAGCGTTATAGATTACCCTGTAAAGTGAACCTCTGTTTAACAGGAATGGGAATATCATGATCTCTGCTTAATTCAGTGGTAGTTTTCATCCCTTGCCCAGGTCATATCACAGGGTTCTAGGGATGTCGTCAATGGGTTGTAAAATAGAGGAACTTCAACTCGAGTCCAGGCAGGCAAGAAAATAATGTCTGTCATCAAAATTTTGTCCTCGAAGTGCACCTAGCAATCCCTTCTTCTGGTTATCCACCCATCTTTTTGGTTGGTTACCAATTTCTTCTTTTGCAGCCTGTCGAGATTATAATGAATAAAAGTGAATTAAATTAGTTTAATGCGTCCTACGAAGACACATGCCTGTCCACGCTCAGAACGATGATTGCAATGAAGGGTGTTATCAGTAATATGCTTCGACATTAAACAAGCATAACGTTTTCACCTGCTCTGGGATTAAATCAAGCTATTTTGGGATGTTATCAGTGATATGCCTCAACATCAAACAAGCATACCTTTTTCACCTGCTCCGGGATCAAATCGAGCTATTTCAAGGTCTGGGGTAAACACATCTTTCACATGTGCAGTGTTCTTGAAGATCTTGCATGGGTGACCTAGTTTCAGTTCTTCACTACTCGTGATGCATGTGGTTGAACTCAATCACAACAGCAGTTGCTGTGATCCTAAACTGTGCCTGCCAAAACAAATAAACTAGCTTTGGAACAAAGGGTATAAACTTAAAATTCGAAAAATTTAAATGAAAAGGAATCAAAAGAAGATAAATAACATGCTCCATATGATGGACTAGATTTTCGTTTTTCTTCTTTATTTATTTTCTATTTGAGCCGTTGGGGGGCTGGTAGACAGCATTCCACAAAATCGATACTTCTACGAAATACGTTCTTATAACCAGATCAAATCCAAACTGTAATCCCCAACACCTGCAATATGAACCTGATGCCGAATGTACATCAGACAACAAATATATTGTTAAAAATAAACAGCAAGATTCTATGAATCATATTTTCAGAGTTTATGCCTTCCCCGCAAGATGATGACTCCAATCTCTATTAATTTTGAGCAATATAAATATTATGATGAATGAAAAAAATGGAATGCCAAAAAATAGCAATGTTCCTATACTTATGAAACACCGAAATTTTAAACGGCTTTAAACAATTCAATAGTCATAATTAGACAAATGATAATTCCAAATGAAGATCTGAAAGATATTTCTGACAAAATTCTTTTAAAAAAGAATTAATAGGCCTCAATATAAACATAAATGACCTGGTTCCAACCCTGCATTTGGAATTTGAATGTTTCCTGTGAAGAAAATGTCTATCATATTAATGGACAATGTGGTCAGCTGAATAAATCCTCAAAAAAGGTAGTGTTTATGTAACAAATAACGTATCAAGATACCCACAACATCCACTGAATAAATATTCAAGCAGAGTGGTCTCCCAATGCATAATACTGACATCTATAAATGTGTGTGTGTTCACGTGTGTGCAGACGACTGTGTGTGTTTGATATGCATGACAAGAGTTGCACTCACAAACGTCCTAAAAAAATAGGGTACAATTTTTGGTGGCGTGAGGATTTCCTTTCAAGTTTAAACCATCCATGTAGAGACAGTAGAAGAAAAATAATAAGATTAAATGGAGTGAGGATTTCCTTTGCAGCGTCAATCATAGCATTGTTTCCGTAACAGAAGTAATAAATCAAGCATTTAATGAACAATGTTCAATCTAATATCACATCAAATAAAGTTATCGCAACATCAGAAGAAAATGGCGAAACATGGCACCTGAAATAATGGTAGCCGGACCTCGAACCTCTGATAAATTATGATTGGTATATGCTTTACAAGCCATAATTAACAAAGGCTTGCGAACCTAGAATAAACAATAAGGATTAAACATATGTATATATATTTATTTATTTGAATAATTTCACAGCAGATTGATTGACAATTATACAATGCAGGCAAGGAATAGACAATGTTATGCATACCTTGGGAGGTCTATGCACCACGACAATGGAGCTTGTTCGCCATAGGAACGATCAAAGGTTGGGACATGAACCCTGCGCCGCTCTTGCTCGATTGAGTGAGACTGAAGACACTTGGCTTTCACAATTGAGCTAAAAGAAAATGCTTTAGGGTTTTGCTTCTTTCCATTTTGGGGAAGTGTCATGCTTCCTCTTGTCGGCCTTAGAACCCCACTGCATGTACCAATGTGCCTTCTGCAACTGCTTATTGGTTCCACTATCTATGACCATGGTAACCTAATTAAGACAGCCTAACAGGACAAGCTACAATGTTCCAAAGGAAACTATGAGCATGAATACTTCAAAACCAACACCAATTCCCATTGCTTGGTCGGAACGAGTCATATGGTTACTGATCAAATCCACAGACCAGATGCAAAGCACATTAACAAAAGCATTTAATTTTCTCCAAAGCACCATTCAAGTCAGATTTTCTGAGTATGCCACGCATCATTGTATACCAGTAAGCAATAATTAATCGTCTACGTCAAACAACAACTTCTCTGCTTAATGGAATGTGGGAACAAATTAATGCTTCAAGCGGAAACATAATCCAAATTCTGTGATTGCAATTGGACTATCCTGACTTTAGCAGCAGTAACACAATGGTAGAACTGCTTGCAGGAGAACGACCTCACATTCTTCAAATACTCACCAAAGGCTACCCTTTTTAAAAAAATAAATAAAGGCTAATAGGTACTTCAAATAAACATAGTTGCACTTGACTGTTTTCAGGCGTTCCCATGCAACAACCATCTTTCCGCTATAAATTTTGGTGACTGAAATCCACATCATAGGACTTACAGCACAAGAAAAATAAAACTTTCACAAATTAAACCAAAAGGCATATCATTAAAAAGTAAGAATTCAAGAGAAATGATTATATCTGATATTCATATACAAATCTAGACCAAAACTGAGTTTCAATATATTAGTTATTGAACAACAACATATTTCCCACAGAAACCAGCCCTAAAGAAACATTGGGAAAAAAAAAATTTGGAAAAGAAAGAAGAAGAACAAGAAAGCATTGACATATTTCCACAAGAATACAACATGAGACTATACCATTTCTACTAAGATGAAACATAATGTGAAAGTCGGGAAGCCATATTCGCAACCTGCGATTGCATTTGTACTGCCCTGACTTTAGCAGCTGTAGCACGATGATAGAACTGCTTGCGGGACAATGACCTCACATTCTTCAAGTACTCATCAAAGGCTATTGACCCATCCTGCAATGCCTTATCCAAAGAATACACAACATCTTCAATCGCCAAATCAGAGGCTGTACAATCCAACATCTGCTTCGAAAGCGGGTCAATGCATTCGAAAGCATCGTCCACATCACCGTCCAGCCTCCCTCTGGTCTTCCCCTCATTCTCTCTCAACCAGGCCTCCAAAACATCCAAATTCATCAGCACCATCTGCAACTGCTGCTCCAAACCCTCCTTCTCATCCACCATCTCTTTCAACCCTTTGTTGAGCTGCTCCGATCGCTGCCGCAGCACCGCCTGTGCATTGAACAAGCCTTCAATTTCCGCCTCCCTCGTCTTCCTCAACCCTGCCATGTCGCCGTGCACCATCTCCACAAGCTTATTGATCGCATTCCTCTTGAAAACCTCATTCGGATCATCAGTCTGAACACGAGAAAATGATCCACTACTTCCATAGGGTGACGGCGGGTACGTCCTCGGAGGAATTGCAGGACGGGCAGGACTAGCCGATCCCGATGAGCCCGAATATGCCGGGTAGCTCGAATATCCTGAATTCGACACAGCGGACGAGGAATGACCAAGGTTAGGATTAGGGTTAGGGTTTGGATTGGGATTGGGCCTGCGCTGGGAGAAGAGCGGCGGGTCCAGACCGAAAACGGCGCTGAGATTCTTAACGAGCTCGACGAGGTTGGAGCTAGGGTAGACCCAGTTCTGCAAGTAGGGGATGGAGACGGAACCAGAAGGGTTGACGTGGGCGTGAGGGCGCTTGATAACCATGTCGCGCGTGGGGTTGACGTAGACGCAAGGCGGGTGGCGAGGGTAGGACTCCATGAGCCAGATGATGACAGGGATGTTGTAGGTGACGCCCTGAAACGTCATGGGGATGGTGCCGTAAGCCTGAAGGAGGTTGACGGAGCGACCGTCGTTGTGGGTGAACGTCGCGGTTTTGGGCTCGAGGGAAGGGTAGGCGGAGGTGAGAGAGACGAGGTGGGTGCGGATGAGCCACTTGGTGTCCTCGGAGTAAGGGAGGGCGGAGGGGCCACGTTGGGAGAGGACGGAGCTCAGGAACTGCTGGATCAGTTCGGGGTTCGGTGGGCTCGGACCGGCCGGTGGAACCATCGCAGCAATTTGGATCGGATCGGGTTCGGAAGGTTGAGATTTGAGATTCCGAGAAGAAGAGAGGGGCGAGGGAGGATTTTAATCGGAGCGAGTTTTTGATCGATCAAGATTTTGGATGGAAATTGGGGGATTTTGTTTGTTTGTTATGTTTGCTTACGGGAGAAACGATGGACCGTGAGCGTGTTTGGGACAGGCGACTGTGTCGTGGGGTGACTTCTGTGTCTTCACTCGTTTTCAACAACATCAAGGAAAAATCTTGCCAACGGCCATGTCTGTACATAGCCATTATCGTAAAAGAAAATTGAATTTCATATGGGCTAAAAAACTTAAGGAAAAACGTCAAGAAACTGATCGAAATTATTCATATTATAAATTATTATATAATTATTTTTAAGTAAAATAAAAATAAAGTCATATAGTCATTGAATAGTATAAAAATAAATTGTTACTAACGGTAAAATGTATTACGAACTGTCTATATATTTATTATAGTTGACTGACAAAACAATCCTAGTTTTGATTGATCTTTTGCATAAATAATATTTAGAGTTAAGTCAGGACATTTACCCAACTTTTAGGGGTGATTACGTATTGGTCCTAACATTTTAAAACATTCCAAATAACTACCTAACGTTTTCAAAAGCATAAATTCGAAAGCGTAAATGTATCTCAAAAGTTGGATAGGTGTATTCAAAATGTGGGATGTGTGTATCCATCAAGTCAAAGTTATATTCATTGACCATGATACGTGGCCAACCAATGTTAGAAATATTCAAGTATCATATTCGATCAAGTATCAGATACAAGATACGCGATTATACATAATTATCCATCTATCATAGCTTGCTACTTCAACTAAATTTTAGGTTATTTGAAATGTAATTGAAGAAAAATGTTGTTAGTTATGGTTGATGTAATATTTTCAAAGTTTATTGTAACAGCCCATTCCTAATTTTAATGTTTTTATAATTTTAAATGTGTGTTTTTACAAAAATGCCCTTTGAAATAAAAGAATAGTAAATGTATAAGAGTGAAATGTTATGAAGATGTTGTATGAAATTGCAATTGTACTCAAACCTAAGGGTGCAAAATGTAATTTACCCCATAATAAAATATAAAGTAAGAATGAAGTTCAGTTGTGGTTTGCGATTAGGGTTTTAAAAAATAAAAAATAAAAACCTAGTTTTGCTTCTATTTTTTTGTTTTTCTTTGTACTCACACAATTCATCATGGCAATATTAAATAACATAATAAAATATAAAGCAAGAATGAGGTTAATGCATCATGATGAATGTTTTTATACTATTCAGAGCTTATAAAATATCGATTTTGTGTTTTAGAAGAACTTAAATTAAATGGAAACGATAAAGTCTTTGAACGTTGTACAAGATTCTTCACCAAAATCCTATAATTCCTTTTTGAATGTTGTACAAGATTCTTCACCAAATTCTAGAAGGTTGCTAAATGGTAAAAAAATCATGTTCCTCTAAAATACATTGTCCGTAATCTACAGTTGCATTCTGTTTTGATTTCCTTATTTTATTAATATATTCAATGTTGTTGTTAGATTTATGTCAATTCTTCTTATTTATTCAATAATAATCTTTTTATTTCAGTTTCAGAAGCAAAGACCAAATATAAAAAATGGGAAGTGTTATTCGCACTTCAAAAATCTGATTCTATACTCCTCACAAGTGTATTTTTCTTTACTAATATAGAAAGTTTAGAGTGTAGAATGAAATTTTTGAAGTGCTGATAACAATTTCCTAAAAATTGATTGAAACTTCAGTCTTCACCCATCAATTGGAATGATGATGAAGAATATGGTAAAATGTAAAGAAGCTTGCAAATCCATGAAGTATCATCAACTGAAAAATTGGAAGGTCCCGAACATAATTCTTATGTAGCAAATTTGGCATTCACATATATGCGCACTCTTCCAAGACCTACTAAGACGTTTGGTTTGTATATTACCCACATGCAGTTGGAGGTACATAAATATGACACATTAGGCTGAGGAAAAATTATTGCTAAAAATACAATGAAAAGAAAATATAAGCAACTTAACAAGGACATCAACAATAATATTGTAAGCGAAGCAAGGAATGTAGCCGAATACACGTTATTGTTTGCATCATCGCCTGATTTCCGCACAGGAGGACTTTTAAAAGGTTAGATCTTCCTTGCTTGGAACTTTTATACCAAATTATCATACATCTATTGATCATATGTTTTGTTGATTGACAGTGATATAAGGCTTGAAGTTGAGGTTATATCTGAGACAAATGTAGTACAACTGTATTTCCTAACCCAGCCTGACTCATTGTCGACCCTTAATTGTACTTGCTTCTTCATCATAAGTCATGTGATACTTTAATTAGTGGCTTTTAATTTTAATGGTTGAATTGTCGTATCTTTGGTTTGCAAAACTGAAATTTTTTTTTTTAACATGTCATGTGAAATTTAAGCAAGGGGACATTTCCTATGCACTATACAAAGCAAACAAAATTTAAGTAGTCAAATTTATTTGAACAACTCTTTCTGTTGGATAATACATGGGCGAAATTTTCAAAAGAAGAATTTGATACTTATAGTGTTATTAAAGAGGCAGCTAATATACATGTGTCACAAAATGACGTCCATTTTTGGTAATGGGTATACTCGAGAGATAAGTTTGAAATTCGTCTTCTCCTTGTACGCGGGTCATGGACTCCTTTTTAATCAATTATTTAGCCTGGGGTGGAATTACCATCATTAAACATTCATTATTGGTCTGGTTGCTGGTCTAGCGATCCCTCATAGGTGTGGGTTTAAAAAACCGAAAATCGATAAAAATCAAACCGAACACCGAACCAAAACCAAAAAAATCGAACCGAACTGAATTCTTTTGGTTCGGTTTTTTGGGTATTATTTATTTAATTAATTAAATTAATAGTTGTGAACATGAACAAGATTTGAAATCGAAGTGCCAATTCTCTTTTACTTTTTGAAAATTTGACTCTTAAGTGACGATGAAAATATATATATAGTGTTACGACATATTTGCTAAACTCATCAGTAATTGGTCTTGAAAGGCTTGTAGATCTTGAGATCGCTAGTCACACCAGCAATTGATCCAGCAGCAGCAGCTATGGTGATTATAAGGCAAGCACCACTCAAGGTTTGGAGGCACAGCCATCTTGTGCTCCGCTTTGGTATCCTCTTTTGAGCAATATACATCTCCACAGGGAAGTAAATTGTGAGCGGCTAAAATCCCAAAGCCCTTAGAAGTCCAACAACATCATTGAAAAATGGCAGGATCATGGAGATCGTAGTGGTGACAATCACAAAAGATGTCCTCTAAACCAGTCTGAAGAGGTTGAGATCGTAAGAACCAACCCGTGAGTCGGAATTTGATGTCTTTTGCTGATGAACTGGCTATGCAGGTACCAATATCTAGATTTAAAAAAAAAAATTCATGGAAAAAATCGAACGGGACCAAAATCGAACCGAAAAAACCGCAGAAAATTCGAACCAAACTGAACCGAACAATAACTTCGGTTTGATTTTCAATTTCGGCCAAAAATCGAACTGAAAGGAACCGAACCCACCCCTAATCCCTCATAGCCGTCGCCAAGAGTGCAACCTAAATTTTGATTAACACATGGAAAACAGATTATATAATTTTGTTACAAATTAGACAATCAAATTATAAATTTTAAAAATTTATGGAGAAAAATATTAAGAGTTCACTGTTTTTTAGAATAATGAATTGTTTTTGTAAGGTGCAAATTGATTAAAACACATGTCCCTCTGCTCTGCACCCATTAGAGATGTGAGTTAATGTAAACAAAAATTGATGTGTGAACCCTCTTAACTTACAACATGTAAAATTGTATAGTCTCATACAAGTTTTGTTTTCCTAATATATTTCTAATCACTTACAAAATAAATACTTTTTCGTTAACTTAAAACATAAGGGTTAAGGTCCATGGCATGATATTTTAAAACACAGCTGAACCTGAGAAACACCAAGCCACTACGATGCGCTTTGGTGCCAACCACTCGGTTTTTTTACCGTTGTAGGTTCAAGGGCTACCAAGACACGTTATGTGTGTATGCCTAACTATCTTTATAATAAATATATGTTTTTTTTGTTACAACTAATAAATAATGAATAATTCAAATACAAACTTTTCATATCACTAACTATTAGTACTAGTTAGAACTTAAACTACATCAAATATTTAAGTGCATCAAAGATGTCCCTTTCCCTTTATTAACCTACCTGTAGTGAATTACACCACATCAGTTACATTAATTAGTTTTATTAATGAAGCACAACAAGGGTAAGCCCAGTCCATGTTTATAATTTCTTCATGAAAGCCCATTCCAAGCTTGCCTATTCTTTTGCCTTGCTTGGTCCAAGCACAAAAAATGGGTCGGGCTAGCCCAACCTGGCCCATTGTCAACCCCTAAATGCACACATTGAATTGGATATACTACTTCATCAGAAATCATATGATACTTTTAAGTTACGGCTGGGTTCGGTTTGAAACGGTTTGGTTTTTTTGTCAAAACCGAAATCGAACTGAAATTTCAGTTCGGTTCATTTTTTTCGGTTTTTTTTCAATTCGGTTTTTTTTTTTTTCCATTCTTCTTTTTCTTCAATAGCAAAAAAATCCCTGCAACTAAATTTTTTATGCAGTCAAGGCTATAAAAGCCTCTCCACCAAACATAGAATTATTTAACCGATACTCGAAAGAAAACTTAAAAAAGTAATGAAACTATGTAGTGAAACAATATAACTTTGTGCTTCAATTTTTACCAAAACAATGAATGCATCAAACGTTTCTGATTGAACCCATAACAAAATTCACCGCAAGTAAAACAATTTCACATAAAGTTGTGAACTTTACTACTTGTAGGAGTGGCCAATGTGGAAAAGCCCATCGGTGGAAAACCCTGAGCACTTGTCGAGCTTAAGCACCTGAAGCACACACCCGTGCGTTTTGGCTAGCAGCTCCTAGTTCAAATCCCTAAGAATCATATGACAAAAGTGCAGACACGTCAAGCAGTGGAAGCGGTCGGCAATATCCTCACCCATGGCCACAGACCTTCCCAAGTCTTTAGATTGAACATCACCACCCTCAGCTTCCTTTTCATGTTCAGCGACTCTAGGTGCTGAAACTGCTGCCACAGCCGATCGGGGTAATGGTGCAGCAGAGAGCGATGGTTAATCGAACTGAACTGGATTTTGCAGTAACAAATAACAATTACAGTTGAACTGG